AACTGCAACACCAGAAGCTCCAGACAAACTTAAGGAAAAACTTCTTTACTGTGAGGGTGACGGAGCACTGGGACAGGCTGCCCAGAGAGGTTGTGGAGTCTCCTTCTCTGGAGATGTTCAAAACCCACCTGGACACTTCCCTGTGCAACCTGTTGTAGGGAACCTGCTTTGGCAGGGGGGTTGGACTGGATGATCTCCTGAGGTCCCTTCCAACCCCCACCATTCTCTGATTCTTCCATCTTAGCGTATATTAAATAATATTTTAAAAGAAAGAATAATGAATCAGTTAGTGAATATTTTAATAAACAAGTTGTATAGCACATCAAGTGGTGTTCAGACAAGTTAAAATAATGATTTTAAAGTTGGAGGCCAACTCATAGTGCTTAGTTAGGAAGCTCCAAAACAAAACTGCATGTTACTTTAATCTTTCCTCGGTGTGACCTCTGATGTGATCTTTAATTAGACAATGACATGCCTTTTGTTTTTTTTTTTTCCCCCACCAGAAACCTTCAGTAAAACTTGATAAGAAATTGCCTTCTTAATTAAATTCTCAGTTTATTAATAATGCCTCAAATGAACTTTGCGTCTTTGCCTGTAACTTACAGAGCTTTCTAATAGATTTGTGCTGCCATCACTGTCTTTAAATTTTTTAACCAAGTTAGCCATGCCCTTACTATTTTGCATTTTCATTTAAACTTCAGCGTGCAGCTGCATCACAGATCATGACTTAGGTTTTTCTGTTCCTTTCTTGAATTATGATCTTGAAGTATTACCTCAGTGCTCTATTTTTCAGCCCTACTAGTGACAGAGTGCAGCTCCTTTGGAAACAACAGAAAGGGCTCTATGATTTTTTGTTATTGCTTAATGTCCAAGTTGTAAATATTATCTAGTCTTAAACTGTATTTTGGTTTTAGGTAGTTTTGGAGTGATGGAGTGTCTGCACTATATCATAGTTACTGTCAATCATGGCTCTTTCAGGATGTTATTGGAACTGGCCCTGGAATATCTTCCAACATCAACAAGAATAAATTTTCTCTTGAGATGAAATATCTTTTTCTAACATACATAGTGTTTTGTATTCTTCAGACAATCTCTAAAAGATGAGCGACTTCTTTGATGAGTCAATGAAGAAGGATGCTTTATACTTTAATTAAATGGAATATATAATAGAAACAGGAGACGACTAACTCTTAAAACCGTCCACAGAGAGCTCCAAATAATAAACATCCTACTTGAACTGAGATGGTAATAGCTGAAAATGCATTAAGTAGACAGAGAAACAAAAACAAATGAAGGTGAGAACTCAGTCAAGCAGGCTGAAGTGGAGTAAACACTTTGTCAGCAGGGTAGCCCCTGTTAGTGCTAATGCGTTTTGCATTAGTATGATGCCTATAAAATACTGACTCCTGGCATCAGAGTTAATGACAAAAATCTACAACAGTTTTACCTTATATACACATGCAGGAACAGTAATACCATAAGACAGATTCTTCTCTCTTAATGCTTTTTTTAAAAAAAATAAAAATATTTCAGCGTGTGAAAGAGCTGGTAACAAATGGTCAGTGACAATTGTTACATAAATGTGTTTTGGTTCTGAAGTTGAGTTTTGATCAATAATTGATGAAATAAAAAAAATCAGACAGTACCAGAAACACACACCAAATCAAGTTGTTATTTTTAGTGTGTTGTTCAGAGGACCAGATTAATCAGGCTAAACTTTTAATAAGAGGATTATATATGTGTCAATATTACGAGGATTTGTAGCTTCATTAGCAACTTCAGAGGAAGTAATACTTTAATGTGTGCTACTGACTGAAATGGAATACTTCTGTGACTGGTTCATAAAATAAATTTCAGCACTGAAGGGTTATGCAGAGGACAATGGTAAGTGTCCAAGATCATTTGCCACTAGCCTTGTCATCTTGTCCCAAGCCAGTGCTGGCTGCAAGGTGAGGAAAAAGGGCCTGTAGGCCATACTGTAAAGGTGAGTGGAGGGGTATTGGCTGCCGAAACAGCAGAAATCTGCTCCTCAGTGGAGCTTCTGCATATGGACTGTACAGCCAGAATCTCTAGCACAGGTGTAATCTGGGCTTGAACCCGCTTTCCCTGGCTCTCTGTTGTGTGTGGCCCAGAGTTGGTACCTGGGTGCTTGTGCCAACCTCATGCCAGTTTCGCAAGGGCAACAGGCCAGGGAGAATGTGACTTGAGAAGCTGTCAGGGTGCCCCTGCATCATGGTCTCCTGCATTTGAAGTGTTTTCTAACTCCTAAGTGAGATAGAAAGCTTCAGAGCAATTGCAGGGAGCATGGAAATGGGGCCAATACCAAGGTTAAAGGAATACAAAAATGGCTTTAAACTGTCCATGGAGCATTTGCAAATTTGCTGGTCGTTCCATCTTTTTACAGTAAGTGGAGTAAGGCAGAAGGAAATTAAAGGACTTGTCCAATATCAGAGTAAGTCATGCTGAGAACAAAATAGAAAGCTTTGTCTTAATCTCCAGGGTTATGTCTTTCCAAATGCTAAAAGGAGAGGGTCTGAGAACTTTTCCATGTAAAGAAGTACAGCTGATGCCAGCTGAGCCATGTATAACAACAGGCTGGCTGACCTGGAGTTTCAGTTGCGTCTCACCAGACTTGAGTCTTGTCAGGGAGGTACAAACTTACTCTATTAAAATACTCATGGCTGCTAGTCTCAGATCTTTCTGATCACAAGATTTTGGAGTCTGCAAAGGCACGTTTCTGCCAACATTTACAGAATATTACCACTAAGCACTGGCGTGGGTGTTTCAGAAATTCTTGTTAAACAGCTCAAAATGATCTGCCTTTTATGTCCTTAATTAGAGGAACTTTTGAATTGCCTGCTTTTTGCACTGCTGAAGTAGATTGAGTTCTTGCTTGGCTGTGATAAAGATGTATGTTGTAACCCTCTACAAACTGTGGTTTTATATCTGTGTAAAAAGCAAAAGAAGTATTCCATCTTCCTTTCTTCCCATTTGAAATGCATTAGCCTTATTTTTGTTCTCTACCTGTTTCCTCCCTGCAACTTCCCTCGGTCACTGCTGTTGTCCCTTTCAGGTGCAGGCATCTTCTCTGTACTTAAAAGTACTTCAGTCCTAAGTACGGAATAAAAGTTACTGTTACCTAAACTGTTTGCTTACCACCAATCTTCAAATCTCCAGCAGCATCCTAGTATGTGTTGCTTTTAGTGCTTCCATTGTTTTCTTTTCCATTTGATATGACTGACCGCTGTCCAACTGGCTATTACTTGTGTCTCATGGTGAGGTATGCAGTGGAGTAGCTCTGTCATGTTTCCATCCACCAGTTCCTTTCACATTCTTTAACCTTTTTGTGCTTTATTTAATCAAAACATTTCCAGTTCAGCTACTCTTTGTCCTGATGAGATTTTATTTCAGAGGTGATGCGTGAAGCTGTTGCTGGTGACCCTCATGATGATAAGTTTCTTGGGTTTTGGATAAGAAGTCCATAATACTGTCTGGGGACTGAAACGGAGGGAGGAAATAAACATTATATATAGCTTTGAGGAGAGGATATAGTATATACTGCTCTTAAACACTGCTATAAATACTTTTATAGTAACAGTTCTTTTCCATAGATGCCACAGGGAAGTTGCATGGTTGTAAATGGGAAAGCAGGGTGATTCATGAGAGTGCAAGTGAGAGAACTGGCTTAGAGTCAGAGACTGTAATACCTGCCTCAGGGCGGGGGTTAGCTGGTGAGAAGCTCTAGAATATTCCCATTAATTTTCAGAAGAATTTTTGGAATGCCATCAGGACTTCACTCTTGCTTGTGTATAGACCATTTCTGCAGGTTTTTCATTCTTGCATCTAAATAAAACAGGAAGTCCTGGTCATAGACAGCCAGTAATAATTGCTCAAAATAACTTCTTGCAGAGGGGTTCTAGTTAAGCAGTTATGCTTGGCCTACAGCAAATTTGTCTAGCAACTTCAGTTAGAGAAAATATTTTATTTCCTGTTTTTAAGATCTTAGCAGCATTGCAGTGCTTTATAACCATATTATACTGTTAGTACAGCACATTTCATTAGCTGGGAACGGAGCTGTGACATTATAATGCAAAATGCTGCTGGTTTTGCTCTATGGAGTCATTGTGTCCAAGATACTGAAGTACTCGCACGAGTAAAACCAATGGGATGAGTTTCAGCAGTATGAAGTTTTTCTCCTAAATATGATGACTTAATAGCTCAAGATAAAGCTGTGACTTAGAAGCTCAAGATTAGTACTGCCTGCAGTACTAACAGGGTAGATCTTGCAGAAAAAATTACCTTCTATGTAATGAAAAAGCAATTTAAAATTAATGTATTTGAATGTGTACTTGAATGAGCTACTACTATTTGTGCATATCTTCTGTTGATGGTTTAGATACACAAATAGAAACTAGTAACTTCTTATAGATTTTTATTTCATCACTATGGGTGAAACCATGAATAAAGGAACTGCTACAAAATTGTATTTTTGTCTGTTTCCTGTTACTTTCAGTACTTAGAACATAAGCTTTTTATTTAGTCTGGGTTAGTCTTGGGTGAACTAAATGCAGGTCTATTTATGATTTAGTAACTAGCCTGTGCATTTACGTTTAAAAAATCTTGCTGCTGGAAAGCATCCTAATAGCTGTTCAAATTATTTATGCTTTAGGTTGACTTTGTAGCTTAACCATATTTTTTCTTTTCTTCTATGGATTATGGTTGATAATGATTATTTTGTTTGAGGTTGTCAGGATGCAGAAGAGACACATTTTTAGCTATCGAGCACTGTTCAGGTAAAGCCGACAGTAGGAATGAGCACCCATATGTACCTATGTCAGTAAGGGCAAGCAAGCATTCCTGAAGCAAGCTACAAAGAAGCAAAAGTAAGAATATGATCAGAACTAAACACCCTCTCTTCTGTAATTGTAGTATTTCAAAATACATTGTTTATGTATCATTCTATCTTGGATCTTCATTTCTTATGGTTTGTTTTGTTTCAGCCTCTTGGGGCCAGTGACTACTTGGAAATATCAAAGCATTTTGACACGGTCTTTGTTCGTGTCATACCACTTCTTACAATGGCAAAAAGGACTCAAGCTCGTCGCTTTATCACTCTTATTGATACCTTTTATGAGCATAAGGTGAGAACCGAGCTTTTCCTCTATGTATAGGAATAATACTGGGAGCCCTGAAACCTGACTGTTGTAATTGGTTTGAAGTAAGACTTTCTGTAGTAGCGATTTGGAAAACATAACCAGAATGAACTAGCACTGCCAAGAAACATCATTCTAGCTTCACAAAAAAGGCCTCTTTGCAATAAAGGCAAATAAGCAGGTATTTAATTTTTTAAAGATTTCTGTGAGTATTAAGCATGACCATAAAAGAAGCCTGAGCTAATTTGCTTTTCTTGAATAGGGATGTTATTTCTTTCCTAACCCAGGAAAATCACAGAAGGCGTGTCATCATTTTAATAATGAAAGATTGTGCTGCCAACTGTGCTGGAGTAAATGGAAATTTAAAAAATTTTAATCTGTATGGGCAGTTAGTCAGGAATCAGTGCCTTCCTGAACAGAGTACTGAGGAGTTAATAGTATAGTTACATTATTAGGTTTAAAGGAAACAGTCACTGTAGGCTTTACATGAGATTGCAGAACTGCTAATGGAATAGTAATGATAAATGCAGCACTTCATGTGGATTTACAGAGCTTTCAATCATGGAAGCAAAATCAGCAAGACTAAAACAAAGAGAAGTTCATGTTTAAGGTGATTTTTTAAAAAGTAATACAGGATATAAAACCCTGTCTTATGTGTGATTATATATGCACACACTTAAATATTTATGCAATCAGGAAATATCGAATGAGATTTCTTTTCAAGAATGTCCTGGCAAGAAGATCAGAAAGGCCCTGGTTCAGCAAGGTATTGAATTAACTAAGCGTAGGAGTAGTCTCGTTTAAGTCAGACAGATTCTTTGTCTATTATGATTTGGAAATGGACAGTTTGTAAGAGGATATGCTAATATTTATAAACTAATACTAGTGTGTTAGAAATGGGGGGGTGATCTGCTCTATCTACATGCTGTCATTAAGAATCGCAAGCAAACAGCCGCTTTCTATTACTTCCTCCATCAGAGAAACACAAATGTTGAACTCCTGTCACAAGCAGTGGTTTGGAAAAGCTGCCTGAGAGAGCAAGTTTGTGTCTGTCCTGTCCACAATGCAGACACTTCCTTCATGCTCTCAACAAGTGTCTCCTTCTGTAATAATATTTCAGTCTGTGGTCACTGCAGCCTCCCCAGAGATACTGTATCTCACTGCACATTGTATCTCCTCCCAGCAGACATGAAAACAGCATCGTTATTGTTATTAGCAAATAAAGCACATAGATGAAGGCAAGAATGGCTCAACTCAGCCTTCTGGGAATTTTGGAATTTAAACAGTCTTTAGATGGAAATATGTGTGCAGTGCACTTAACTACTCAGAGGAATCTTACTATGGGGGGAAAGAAAGCGTTGCTTGCTAATACTTTATAGCTGTTATTTTAGAAAGTAAAGTTGATTGTGAACTCATAGCCTGCGTAGCAGATATTCTGAGTGTTTAATAGCACAGTTATGCTGTTCTCTGAGTAAAAGTTACACGAGTTGTTATTGAGAAGAAGATCCCATAAGGTCGGTATTCCAAATTACTAAGTCAGATAAATCTGTAACAGCAGTTCTAACAAGAGAAAGGGAAAATACTTGGAAAAAACCCGAGGTTATAATTTGAATCTTGCTTCTCATAAAACATGTATTTTATCCCTTGTCTGTGAAGCCCAAGTGAGTATATTGTTGCCTGTTTTCCTTCTCTCAGGTGCGTATTATTTGTTCTGCAGCGACTCCTCTCCAAAGCTTGTTCCTGGTAGAACATGACAATGGTGAGCTAGAGGACCACAGAGTGTTGATGGATGATTTGGACTTGAGCCAGGTACATGATATTAACATTGTCTCCCTTTTGTAACAAAATTGGTTTTGCTCTCCTCATTACAGCAGCATTTTAGGAAGAGGAATCAACTAAACATTTAACTAGAGATTTGCTGCTTTTTCTGCAGTGTATCTGTCACTCTCGTAATTGCAGGTTATGTTATTTATTCATAGTCAAAGAAAATGTCACAATATATAGAACCATTTTGCATAAGTTTTAGGGTCATTTTGATTGTTAATCGTTGTATCTGTTCAATCATGTATGAAAACACTGATTTAAGTTTAGTTCCTACATTTAAAATACAGAAATAAAAGATGGTCTGTTCTATCTCTTCTTAGACTACACAGGGCTGCCTCACAAGCAGTACTGTTCTGCATGTTGCTTATTCTGGTTTTGTTTTTCCCTATGACTTAGTGTTAATGGATTTTTAAATTATTTGTCTAAATCAGTATACAATTAGTCAACAGAAAAGTGGAAATAGATGGTTAACATCATCATGTTGTTTTAAATCCAAATTATTGCTTTGTTGCGTTCCTCAGAGGATTATCTAGCTGAAATAGATGTTTTTCTTTAATTTCTGGAGGTTAATTTTATTTTCCCTTGTCGTGCTGCTATCTTGTATTGTCCAAGCCTGTAAAGCATTCAGCCTTAGGAGTTAGATAGGATGCCCTTCAGGACAGCTATGTCCCTCACAGTTTTGTGGTACTGTTTTTGTGTATTAATGTAGGATTCTGCCAAAGGACTCTCCATGTTTACAGGAGAAGAGGAAATCTTTGCCTTTCAGCGCACTATCTCACGGCTTACGGAAATGCAGACTGAACAGTACTGGAAGGATGGGGACAGAAGCAAAAAACCGCTATAATTAAAAGCTTAATAAAATCACCAAGAAGTAAAACTACAGAACTGGAAAGTTTTTTAGCACAACTGAAATAATAATTGCACTTTATCATCTGGACCGTGTTTCTTTCATCAGCTGATTTATGTGCTTAAGACATGAGGACTCAGTTATTTTTCTGTAACAGCAATGTGTGGACATATGAAATTTTGCCTTCATTTTCTCTTCTGTAAAACAACTTTGAAGTCCAAGAAGTTTAATGGGATTAGAACTGTTCTGGAGAATGGATCTAGAGACAAAGTTAATGGCCCATGCAGGGTTCAACAGTAGATTTATAATGTCACGTGAAGAGGGCACTTTGTGGTTCATGCTGCTTCTATCATGTACAATGCAGTTTGCACAAAAGAAAAACCAAATGCTTTCTTTATGAAACTCCTGATACTGTATAGGTCCCTGCTAGAATCCCAGAACTTCTTTGTAGTGTGTTCTGGGTTTGGGGTTTTTTTTTTCCTATTTCCTGTGTGGAACCATCTGCTGACTTTCAGGCTCTGAGATTTTCTTGTAATCAGGCTGTCGCTCAGTCTGGTTCATTGAAAACTAATTGTTTGAACCAAGAGAGAAGCCTGAGGAGGAACTTGAAGATACTTGAAACCACGCAGGATTAAGATCTAAGTAATCATGGATGGGAAAAGAAACTATGATAAGACAGGGTATACTGTAACATGTAAGTGCAAGTTAATGCTCTCCCTAAATTTTGTGGTTCTTGAAAGTCTGGAAATGCTGCCTCTACACCAGTGACATATTTCTACCCTGAATTTTGCTAGGCTTCATCGAATCTAAATCTTCCTGCTTTCCTGTATTGCTGCTCTGATCTGGGGAGAGCAGTACACAGTACTGCTGAGGCAAGTCATCGTGTTACAATACAATGTGTTTTATGGAAAAGATGGGATATTAACTGGTGCCCCAAAACACGTAACCCAACCTCGTGTTTGTAGTTGGAAACTTTCTTTTAGTTAAAAATGCAATTGAGTCATTCTTGGTTTTAATCTAATTGAAACAAAAGAAGGTATTGCACTTATTGGCTTGTATTTTAAAGAGCATATTTAGAAACCCTGAACAGGGAAAAATATTATGCAGATGAACTGAAAAGATTGCCCTAGTTTCTTAGGGAGGAGGTATCTAACACTGTCCCTGTCCCCAGATTTCATAGAATCATAGCATCGTTTGGGTTGGAAGGGACCTTAAAGACCATCTAGTTCCAACCCCCCTGCCATCAGCAGGGACACCTTCCACTAGACCAGGTTGCTCAAAGCCTCATCCAGCCTGGCCTTAAACACTTCCAGGGAGGGGGCAGCCACAGCTTCTCTGGGCAACCTGTGCCAGTGTCTGACCACCCTCACAGTGAAGAACTTCTTCCTAATATCTCATCTAAACCTATCCTCTTCCAGTTTAAACCCATTTCCCCTTATTCTATCACTCCCTGCCCTTGTAAAAAGTCCCTCCCCAGCTTTCTTGTAGCCCCTTCAGGTACTGGAAGGCCGCTAAAAGGTCTCTCTGGAGCCTTCTCTTCTCCAGGCTGAACAGCCCCAAGTCTCTCAGCCTGTCCTCATAGGAGAGGTGCTCCAGCCCTCTCATCATCCTCGTGGCCTCCTCTCGACTTGCTCCAGTAGGTCCACGTCCTTCTTATGTTGAGGGCCCCAGAACTGGGCGCAGTACGGCAGGTGGGGTCTCACCAGAGCAGAGTAGAGGGATTTTACTGGATTTTGCAACATGACCTTTTTCTTGTACTGTATCTGTTATAAAAAAAATACTCTTCTCTGCCTTTGTTAAGCCTGATTAAATTGCTTCAGTCATAACCCATGTCACAATTACAGAAAGCTTTTAAAAGTTACTTTTTGGGGGGTGGAGAGGACTGGAGCGTGGAGGACTGGAGTCCCGTGCGTTTGCATGTGTTATGGCAATACAGATGTTTTGGAGCCATGTGCTGAAGTGTGGTTTTGTGTTCTGATCACTTCTGCTTGCCCTGGAAGTTGCTTATACTGGCTATACCTGCTCTTCAAAGTATTTTTAAAGCCTGTATTTATAGTTTACAACTTAGGCAATTATGTTGTCATTCCCACAGGGGTGACTACCATGGAGAATTTTAATGCATATTTATGAAAAACCCAATTAGAATACATTGCTTATACTTAAGAATCTTAAAAAAAAAAAGTTTATTTTCAGAGATTTTTATTAGGTTTCTCAACAGAGGGACTATTGATATTCATGCATGTGTGTCGGTTTATACACACATGTATGTATACTTAATTTGTATATATATCTATATAAATATAGGTAAAACTAATATATATAACTTAAATGTGTCTGGTTTTATATTTATATATGGCAGTCTAATCTCATCAGCCTGGGCCTGCGCTGATAACTCTCCTGAAGCTTCAGCTTTGAGTTCTTTTTCTAGTAGCATTCAAGTGCTTCCTGCCTTGTCTGAACCAGAATGTATTGTGGGGAAATGGGAGGTGATGGTAGGTACCCTAAAGCGTCTTGTATCTGGATATTTATTTGCATTATTTTAAAAACTGTTTATATATTTAGCCTGTATGTCCTCCTCCATCATGTGGTACAGGGGAAATGCTTAATCTTGCAGAACAGGAGAGACACTTGGGACGTGTTAGAGAGGAGGTTCTGGCAGGTTCTGCATTCCCACAGGGACTGTCTCAGGCCAGGGAGGTGAAGTGTTTCTCCACAGCCTGTGTGGGTGATGACTGACCTCATTTAACCGGGGATCCCTGGAGCTCCCTGGGCAGGTCTGTTGGTGTTCAAACTGGTGCAGCTTTGCCTGTTGGTATTTGAGGCCTTTCTCCAATCTGGGTGCCCATTCCAAACTCAGATACCCAAGGTTTTTGGAAGCTCCTAAATGCAGTGGAACTGAAGAATCATTGTAAACTTCCTGGGATTAGGTGAGCTCTATCAAACTACAACAGGGAATTTCCCAAAAGCTTCCAGAGCCACTGCTGCTTCCAGGACATGTTGCTAAATAAAACCATGGTGCAAGGAAGCTTTGTGTTGGGAGTCATTGGTAGGCACCAACAGTCATCAAGGAGAAGAAATGGGTCTTCCAGGAGGGTTTTGGGGCTGTAAACAAGAAAAGCTGCTTAAATCACTGTGCAGTGTTTGTGGTTGCACTGCACAGTGTGGATTGACACTTTTAGGTCAGGACCATGACGAGAGATTGATGGGACCAGGTTCTCATCCAGCCCAGATACTGGGGCAGAGATCCCCACAGTAACCACAGAAGCAGCGTACTTGGGCCCATCCACTTCCCTAAAGCAAGTGAGGCCCTACATGCTTATTTTATGATGCTGCTAATAATACTGTTGCATCGAGGCCTTTTCCCACAGGGAATTTGGAGGGGCTTCTTCTGAGGCCAAACAAATTCCAGGCAACTGGTGCTGGCCAAAGTCTGTCACTGGGGGATGATGGACAACAATGGGTATGTCCAGCCCCAGGGTGCTGGGTCACCTATTCTCCCAGCAGTCCTGTCCCCTGCTGCCTGCCTGGCTGGCTCCTTGCTGCAGCAGTCCCTGACTTTTTATTCCTACTTCAAGATGTTTTAGTTGTCAAAAATGTAAACAGCGAGATGCCTGTGAATAAATAACACACATAATTTATTATATAATTTAATGGCCTTCAATTAATAGCCTTAAAATTGCTGGATTTATGCTGGATGCTTCTATTGTGAGTTTCAAGTATTGGCTTTTCAGGTTTTTCTTAACTTGCAAATTCATGTCACCTCAGAGCTGCAACATGTGTTTATTTCCCCTTCAGTCATTCAGCAAACATTATTGCTGAGTTATTTTTAAAGGTCCTTTTAGAGTAACCTTATTGATGTGGTATAGTATTTTGCTGTCACAGGAAGTTCGATGCTTGTGATTATGGACTGTGTGAAACGTTTTCATGTTGGTTTATAAAGGCCATGTCCTGGCTGAGAATCTCTCAGCGAACTTGTTTCAAGTACTTGATTGATGAAGGGGAGTATTCTCAATGCCAAAAATATAACTTACTGCTTCTGTGAGCATAGTTTCTCTGTCCATATATTTTATCTTTAAAGCTGTATTTTCATTTTGCATTCTTGTGCAGTAGCTCTTATTTATTTTGATGAATAATGCAATTCTGTCTTTCAAAGCTACTGGGTTTCTGTATTTACCTTTGCACAAATCAAGGGAACAATTGTAGTATTTTGGGTATTACAAGACAGCCTTCAAAAGGTCTTTGGAGGAATTGAAGATGCACTTCTCGCTGTTGTCACTTTTTGATCTACAAAGGAAAACCATTAGTGACTTTTTTTGAGTAAAGGTGATCGTAATGATACTATAGCTGGATAGATGTTACCTATTTTGCAGCAATTTAAACATGAAAACAAACAAACAAAAAAGACCAAGTTTCAAACAGTGCTCAGCTTGATCACCAGCCATCTAACAAGAAGGAAGACTTGTCTCTCCATCAAGACCTGCCTAAGAGGATCAAGATCCAGGAGTTTTCTTTCTGCAGTTACCTGGATCTGAATGATGCCAGTGCCTCAGTTTCCCCGTTGCTAAGATGGGAATTATGTTACTTTCTTATTTGCTAACACTGGAGTGCTGCCAGGCTTCACTCATTAATATTCTAAGATGATTGCTGAGGCTCTGGGATGAAAATACTTCAGTAAAGTATGTAAATAGTACAAAAAATAATTCAGCTACTCAAAGTGGAATAGTTTCCTTGTTTGGGTTACAGAATTGATGCCATCAACTAAACACCACGTGCCTCTTTGTATTGATGATTTTCTTTTTTTATAATGCATCTATTTTAAAGACAAAATCTTAAGGTTTTTGACTAAAACCATAACCAATTCATGTAGTTTTACTTCTGTAATGACAAATTTCCTATATGATTCATTACATCCTTAGCTCCTGTTCTTGTGAACTGCAGTGGTTTTGTGAATTCTGGTGGGATTTTGCTTGTATTATATACTGAGAATATGTATTTTT